ATATTTAGCGTATGATGATGAGTATGATTGTTTTTCAAATGGATTTCTTTAAATATAAAATATTGTGTGATATATAAAATTATTGTTATGCTTGAGAATTTTGTTTTAAATAAAATCTGCATATATTTTATAAATATGATGTGATGGGTGAATGCATGTCTTTGTTATAGACAGTGTCTATTTTCTTATTAAGCACGTGAAACTCACCCTAATTCACACCTCCTTCAGTGCAGATTAGTTTGAATCAGGAGCACGTTCAAAGTCGAAAGAAAACTCTAAATGAACCTTTAAAGATTTTGAGAATATTGCTTTGTAAAATAGATTCAATTACATTATAGTAATGTAATGTAAAGAGTTTTAGTGAGTCTCGTGATTTATAGTTCCGTACAAGAGATATATGATTGAATTTTAAATTTTAGAATATTGTTGTACAGATTTATCAAGTTATATGCACGGGTTAGTGCTCATTTCTCTTCAGAGAAAGCAGGTCGTTACATCAGTGTTGGTAATAAGACGTTGTTAAAACTCATTTTTCAAAAAAAAAAAAAGATTTTACTAACATTCAAATAAATTAGCTTATGTAATTTTAACTCACAAAATTATCATAAAAGTATTTAGTGACCGTCTTAAAAAAGGTCATCGGAAAGATATCATTGTACAATAACCATACATAGCACGAAAACTAAGATAATCAAAAAAGAATTATGGCAATTAAGGTGAATCTTTAAAAAATTTATAATTTAGTCATCTAAAATTGTATAGAAGATATTCTTTCAATAAGAGGTCTATAAAAAACTAGAGTCGAAGTAACCATATGATATATTTATTCCTCATTGATGAATATTGTTATATGGTTATATATATATATGTGTATGTGTATTTGTTATATTTTATTGAAATATTAACTCATGTTATCTATTTAAAAAGTCTAATATAAAGATTGGAAACTTCTCATGATGGTGGAAAGGGGACATTTATTTTATCATCTTTTTTTTTTTCTTGACTTCTTTTTTTTTTTTTTTTTTTATATATACTTTTTACTGAAACTTCTTGAGAACAAGTGGACATTATCATGAAATGTTTAAACAACTTAATTCCATGAAAAAATTTAGTTTTAAATGCAGCTATAATCAAAAGACTAACTACAATTAATATAATTTTGTTTACTATTGACTTTGGGCACTACTTGGGAGTCCCTATATTATATCAAAGAATCAGTTGTAGCACATAGCAACGGCGGGGTGGTTCCAGATCCCTCTTTTTTTTTTTTTTTTTTTTTTTCATGGCTATGAAAACCACTCTTATCAATGTAATTTACTTCTGTTATCTTAACCTACTTTATGCAAAAAAATCCTTCTATCCATAACCTTGACCTCCACATTAAACAAGTTGAATCAGGAATTCATATGGAGATCAAAAGTCATGTATATAAATAATCAATCTAGTTAAGTGCAAGAAGGGTTACCAAGCCTAGGAACTTCTCAATTTAAGGATTTCAAATATGAAATAAAAGTATTGGGATGTTTCTCATGAAGCTTATAGGAAAGAATGGTGAGGAACCAAATAGTCTTTAAGTTCAAACCTGAAAGAGCAAAATATGAAAAGCCCATAAAAGAGCAGCCTAGAAAATCCAATAGAAAACCCACGCCCAACCCGAAGTACCTGCACTAAACCAAAGCAGAAGAGCAGAACGAAAAAAGAGCAGCAGGAGGAAAGAAGTTGCAGAAGAACCAGTCAACACCCTCAAACGGCCACCACCAGAACCGGTCAATCCTCTTCAGTTTTTACTCTCTAGTACCTTGTTATTTCTAGCCGTTAGTTTTTTAAGTTTTTCTCCATCCGTAAATGTAAGAAATTGGTTGATCTCTATGTGTATTTAAGGACGCATTATCAACGAATGAAGGTAGAACATTTTAAGCAGCAAATTTTTTAGTTTTATTCTCACCATAAACATAATTATTTATCTCTCTGACTGGGACCTATTATTGGTATCAGAGCAGGATAGCGTCAAACAAGGAACGCATTGAGAATCTTGAGCAAGGTTTGGGTGGATTGCAGGAATCGGTCAGTAGGCTGGAAGTAGGAATGACGGGCAAACCTCGGCTCGTTGAGGAAAACTTGCAACGCTTCTCAGACACGATGATGTCCAGCCGCGAAGCTTTTGCAAGCAACTCCATAGGGCGACTCGGACAGGCACAACCCGTCAGGGACGACGGACTCGAACGTATAGAAACGGGGAGGCAGAACTTCTACTCGAAGGTGGCAAAATTAGAATTTCCGACCTTCGCCGGCGACGACTCGACGAAGTGGTTCAATTGGACTGAGCAGTTCTTCGAGTTACAAGGCACCACTGACAGCAACAACATCACCTTGGCCGCTTTCCACCTTGAAGGAGAAGCAAATCAATGGTTGTAGTGGTTCAGAAAAATCTGTTAGGAAGGAGGAAGGGAGATTACCTGGACCTTGTTCACAAGTGAGCTGTGGACCGGATTTGGGCTGCCCAAATGCGAAGACTTTGATGAGACCCTTTTTAGAATTAAACAACCGGGCTCCCTCAGAGACTACCCAAAAGAATATGAGAAGCTCGACAACAGGGTTCAGTGCTGGACCCAAAAGGCCATGGTTGGAACCTTAAACTCGAGCTGGGATCCGATTGCTCAAGCCCAAAACGTTAAGAGAGGCAATCAATCTGGCCCGAATGAGAAGACCAGCTGGGCCGACAAAGGAGAGCCATCAGGGTCGGGCGAAATCCGCTTCCCAACATGAACCCGATTGTCCCAAACCTTAACCTCAGACGTGAGACAACCGAAACGACGTTCGTGGGAGGAGATGCAGTGTTGCCGCTTGCAGGGCCTCTATTTCTACTGCGACAAAAAGTTCTCCACCGGGCACCGATGTCGATGGCCGTAGTTAATGATAATGGAAGGGGCTGATGACGAAGAAGACCCGGACGACACCGACGGCCCCGACATTTCTCTTCGTGCCTTGGTTGGATGGGCAACAACCTGAACGATGCGTCTTTCTGCCACGATCGAGAAACAGAAGGTGGTCGCTCATTGATAGCGGCTCGACACACAATTTCATAAGGGAACGGGTCGGCGATCGCTTGCGGCTTACTGTAGTGCCGACCGAGTCTTTCTAAGTGAAGATGTCCAATAAACCAGCCCATGAAGTGCCAAGGACAGTTCACATAGTTCTTGTCACCCTTTAAAGTATCCCTTTTTATCTCATAGTATATGTTTTACCTTTGACCGGCCTGGATTTGGTGCTAGGTGTACAATGGCTGGAATTACTTGGAACGGGCACATGTGATTAGAGAAAGATGACCATGGAATTCTTCTGGGAAGGTTGAATGCGACGGTTGTAAGGCACCGGGACATAAGCCATTCGGTTAGCATCCATGAGATCGGTTAGTAAGTTGTTGAGACAGAAAAATTTAAAGGTGGCAATATGCATGCAGGTTGAAGTAAAACCAAATCTGGCAGTATCTGAGACAAGTATGGATGAGTTATTGGCTGAATATCATGATATATTTCAGGAACCAAACCGCTTTCCACCAGTGAGAAAAATTGCACACTAAATCAGCCTCAAAGAAGGGACCGATCCGTTCAATATCAGGCCCTACAAGTATGCTTACTTTCAAAAGACTGAAATTGAAAGACAAGTTCAAGAAATATTGAAAATGGGGATCATTAAGCCGAGTGTTAGTCCTTTCTCATCCCCAGAATTATTGGTTAAGAAAAAAAATGGAACATGACATTTTTGTACAGATTACAGAGCCTTGAATGTTGTAACCATCAAAATCACTTCCCTATCGACATGCTTGACGAACTACATGGAGCGGCCTATTTCACTAAATTGGATTTGACCTCCGAATATCACCAAGTTTGAGTACATCCACCAAACACCCACAAAATAGCCTTGCAAACATATAATAGTTATTATGAGTATTTGATCATGCCATTTGGCTTATGC